CCATCTCTCCTCTCCTTCTCTTCCCTCGCTGGCTCTACATTTTCCCCTCTGCATCTCTTCTCTGTCTCTTTCTCCCAGGGGATCGTTCAGATCCTGCACAGCCCTCTGTGAACCCCCATGCGTGCCTCTGCTTCAGAGACAGAGCCCTGAAATGGAGGGATGGAGGGAAAGAGGGAGGAGAGGAGCGAGGGAGAGTTAGGCAGCAGGCAGAACCCTGATTTCATTCGAGTCTGTTAATCTGGGCTCCATCTGTCACACCAGGAGCTGCACACAAAGCAGTGAGCCAACACACACTAACGCACACACAATCTCTCTTTCATACATAAAAATACATACACATAAGTACTCACATATGTGAGAACACATACGCACACTCACACACAAACACACCAAAGCACCCCGTGGGATGAGACGGACGTAGTGTTTTGCTGTGGCTCTTCATCCAACAGGCAAAAATAGACTGTCAGACACAAACTTACCCTGCAGTTCTAACACTCCCAGGAAAAAACGACACTCTGAACAACACTAACCTCTCGTCTCACACTGCAGCAATATATTAGAGTTACTTCAGGTCCAAACCTGCAGAAAGCAGAAAAGCAACGACTGACTGACTGATCTGGTTATCATTACAGTCATGTGGTCCTCTGTAGCTCAGCTGGTAGAGCACGGCGCTTGTAACGCCACGGTAGTGGGTTCGATCCCCGGGACCACCCATACACAAAAAAATGTATGCACGCATGACTGTAAGTCGCTTTGGATAAAAGTGTCTGCTAAATGGCATTTTATTATTATTATTAGACCAGCAGATGGCTCATTCAATGAGTGTCATAATAGCAGCTGACTGGTCAATTCCATCTACATCCTCCACTACATTCTCACTGTTACAACTTTCTCACATTTTGAGTTTGGTAAATCAAAGCACTCTCCACCCTAAAATGTCCCATAACTATTTGTTTGACTCCATCCCCATCGTCTCCAAATCCTTATGCCCACAGATGGCACTGCTCAATTTAGTACCCATCTCATTATCTTAACTCCCTCCCCCCATTCAAACAAATCCCATTCCTTACTCCCAACCCCTTAGTCAACTTCAGCAGACAGTACCCATGAAGACAGGCAGCTCAACCCCTTCAGTCTCCCTCCACTCACCACCCCCTGCTCCAGGCTGCAACTGCTCAACCTGGGCATGAAATCAATTGTAGAGTGGGGTAGTGTGTGTGTGTGTGTGTGTGTGTGTGTGTGTGTGTGGGTGGGTGGGGGGGGGGGGGGGGGTGCAGTTAGTCAGGTAGTCCAGCCCCGTCTATAACGGACAGAGAGCCAGCTCATTCTCTACATCATTAATTTCAACAAATCACCTTTCAGAGAGATCACAATCTACTCAGTTATTGCACTGTCATCCCTCTCTTCCTGTGTCCATCCATCTCTTTCCCTCTCTTTCTCCGGCTCTCTGTCCTCCACAATCTATACCTCTTATACTCCTCTCTTTACCCTCCACTTTCTATCTCTTCTCTCCCTCCCTCCCTCCTTCCTTGGCTTTCTGCTACATAACACATTCTAGCCGAGTTCCTCTCCACCCAAACACACGTCTTTTCCGGAAGGTACTGACCTTGAGTCAGATGTTAATGCTGCTTCCGCAGTCATAATGAGTATGCTAATGAGGTAGAGAGCAGCTTAGAGCAGGAAGCCATGACCTGTCTCGTCCTCCACGAATTACAGCAGTGACAAGAACAGTCAACGGGGTTACGAGATGGTGGTGGATGAATGCGGTTTTGGCAAAAAGACAAGTTTACACTGCATCACATTGGGCCAATAATATGAAGGAAGAGTGTGTGTGTGAGAGAGAGAGAGAGAGAGAGAGAGAGAGAGAGAGAGAGAGAGAGAGAGAGAGAGAGAGAGAGAGAGAGAGAGAGAGAGAGAGAGAGAGAGAGAGAGAGAGAGAGAGAGAGAGAGAGAGAGAGAGAGAGAGAGAGAGAGAGAGAGTTTAATATGTCTCTGTGATGATGTCTCTGAGGCTCAGAATCTCTTAGCCTCTGTAAAGGTTTTCTATACTATTAACTCTGGACATCTCTCTCTGTCTCTCTCTTTCTAAATTGCTTTATTGGCATATTTAAAATTATAATAATAATCAAGATTGTCAACGGGACAACAGTACCAACAATAATCAAGGGTCAAAATAACCATACAATGGACAATAACAATGTCATAGAGGTCTGTCAGACATCTTATGGCAGGCAGCAATGTAGTGCTCTGCCAACCCACAGCTCTCTGCGTCCTCCCCCAACAGGACGGGTAGCCTATTCTCATCAGAGAGATCTTTGAAACCTTGAATAAGAGTTTCAAATTTGGGGAAATTACACACTCTAATTGTTTTATATTTTTGACATTTTGTCAGGAAATGCAGCTCTGTCTCGGGTTCTGCTGTGGTGCAGTGGTTGCACAGCCTTTCCTCTACAGGGAGCCAGGTTTTCCTGTGTCTACCCTTCTCAATGGCAAGGCTGTGCTCACCGAGCCTGTACTTTGTCAAGGTTTTTCTAAGGTTTTGATCAGTAACCATGGTCAAATACTTTGTCATGGTGTACTGTCGATTTATGGCCAGTTAGCACTGCCAAGAGTGTGCAAAGCTGTCATCAAGGCAAAGGGTGGTTATTTGAAGAATCTCTAATATAAAATATATTTTGATTTGTTTAACACTTTTTTGGTTACTACATGAGTCCATATGTGTTATTTCATAGTTTTGATGTCTTCACTATTATTCTACAATGTAGAAAATTGTAAAAAAAAAAAAAAAAAAAAAAAACCTGGAATGAGTAGGCGTGTCCAAACTTTTGACTGGTACTGTATATCAACAATAGACTAATGAAACAAAAACCAATATATAGTTGTCCTTTAAGAGTGAGATAAACAAAAAGGATAACAGAAAACATTTATTTTTATTTTGTCTTCCTGTTCATCGAACAAGTAAACCTTTAGTGCAATAGCTGTGTGTGTCTGTTTGTTTAGTGCAGATGAACTGGAGGAGCTATTTTATCAATCCTACAGAGTTCTTCTGTCCTCTGAAGGCCTCCGCGTAGCTGCGCTGGTCCTGCTGTTGGGCCCCGTGGAGGTCTGGGCCGGGGGGCTGCCTGTTCGGTCTGTTACCACATGCACAGGTGCTGGGTCTGTTGGTGGGTAGGGCCTGTGGGGTGTGCTGGGTCTGGTGGGGCGTTGATGGGGCCTGGGGCTCCTTGGGAGTGCAGTGGTCTGGTAGGGGTCTCTGGGTGGTCCTCTGTCCAGTGTGGCGTGGGGTGTTTGTCTACCAAGTGTCACGTCCTTTAGAATCTTGGCAAACATTCCCATTGTCTGCTTCCTCAGGTGGAAGTGGTTGTGCCAAGTGCTCTTGTCTGATTGTTGGGTTGTGAGCAACTTGCACATTCGGGAGCAGGGCATGCCCTCTGGTGATGTCAGCACTGACTTTCTGGATGGTATGGATGAAAGTCTCTGCAGGGCAGCAGAGTGGAGATGGTGATGCGGGAGTTGGGTAAGGACTCAGCCCCACTCTGTTGACCAGACTGCCTACTCTTCCCTTGCTCCTATCTACTGACCAGGCTGCCTGCTCTCCCCTGCTCCTCTCTGTTGACCAGGCTGCCTACTCTCCCCTGCTCCTCTCTGTTGACCAGGCTGCCTACTCTCCCCTGCTCCTCTCTGTTGACCAGACTGCCTACTCTCCCCTGCTCCTCTCTGTTGACCAGGCTGCCTACTCTCCCCTGCTCCTCTCTGTTGACCAGGCTGCCTACTCTCCCCTGCTCCTCTCTGTTGACCAGGCTGCCTACTCTCCCCTGCTCCTCTCTGTTGACCAGGCTGCCTACTCTCCCCTGCTCCTCTCTGTTGACCAGGCTGCCTGCTCTCCCCTGCTCCTCTCTGTTGACCAGGCTGCCTACTCTCCCCTGCTCCTCTCTGTTGACCAGGCTGCCTACTCTCTTGTGGGGGGGGGGGGGGGGGGGGCTTTACCTCCTCAAGCGCTGTGGTAAGTCTCTCTCAGCTCCTGGACAGAGTTCTTCAGCTGGGTCCTGCACTGGTTGATCTGGTCCTGTAGAAGCTATGTGTCTGGGCTGGAGGTGGTGTAGCTGGGGGGCTGCTCCTTTAGCTCAGTATCCCATACCTCTAACAGAGCCGGCCTGTCTCTCAGCAGGCTGATGGTAGTGTGGTCTTGGCTCTGGTGGTCGTAGGCAGGCAGGGGGGAGGACAGACCTGTTGTGTGGGCCTGGGCCTGGGCTCCTGCTGTTGGAGTGCCTGAGGTGAGGGGAGAGGTCGGGGTGCTGTCCTTGTCCTTTTTGGTTTCTGCTATCTTCCTTAGGGTGGGGAAGTCCTGCATAAAAGAGCTGAGTGCAGCCTCACTGCCCTGGACCATGACAGTGCCATTCTGCTACACGTTTAACCTCAGAAACCTTTTTTCCTGGTCCTTTTCGCTGTCCTCAAAAATGTATTTTCCTTCCCTAACAGATGCCTTTCGTTGTTGTATAGCTGAAATGCCTGGTTACAGCGGTATGCCAGGCAGTAGTGTGTTCTGTGTAAACTAACAGGTTTGTCACTGTTGTGTGACAGTCCAGGTTTGTACCGCGGGGGAAAAAAGAGAAGAGAGAGAGGGAGAGAGAGAGAGAGAGAGAATAGAGAGAGAGAGAGCGAGAGCTAGAGAGAGATAGCCATAGCGATAGGCGAGCGAGAAGAGCTCGCTTCTCTTCTGTTCTCTATCCTATAGCTCTCTCTCTCTCTTCTCTCTCTCTCTCTCTCTCTCTCTCTCTCTCTCTCTCTCTCTCGCTTCTCGCTCCTTCTCTCTCTCTCTCTCGCTCTTAGATAGCAATCTCCGCCCGCAGAACGCGTGTCATTTCCTCTCGGAGTGGATAAGGGGCGGTGAGCAGAAGAGTCAAGTTGTGTTATAGTTGGTCTGGGTTAAACTGTGTCAGTCAAAGTCAGTAAAGGTTTGCTTGGATCAGTCTGGATTGTTCTGGGTTGGTCAGGATTCGTTAGTCTGGGTTGGTCTTAGTCTGGTTGCTTCTGCTTTGTCTGGGTTGGTCAGGGTCAGAGTGGGTTGTGGCCTGGCTCTTACCTCCGGCGGCGCTAGACACGGTCGGCCAGTTCTGGACCAGAACCCCCTGGGCTCCCTGCATCACCGACGACTCCTCCATGTGCACTGAGCTGGAACAACACACACACACACCCTGAGGTTACACACTGGATAGAAATATAACACACACACAGTCTGATGGTATACATTGAGAGGGTTTCTCTAGTACATACACACAAACACACCGTTTCACTCTCAAACAAATCACACATTTTCTGGGTGAACGTAATATTATAGCTGGCAGCAGCTATAAGCTTCTGTGGACCCAATCCTCTTTCACTCTGCATTTTTCCTATAATACAGAGCATTACTAAATTAAACCATGGCAGGGAACCACAGGGTGTGTGTGTGTGTGTGTGTGTGTGTGTGTGTGTGTGTGTGTGTGTGTGTGTGTGTGTGTGTGTGTGTGTGTGTGTGTGTGTATATACAGTCAGTAGTGGGGGTCTCAGGAGGAGGTCAGCCAATTCCATTTTAGGAACTCAAACAGGCCCCTGGATTAGGATTAATCACGCCCACCCCAGGGATTTCAGCACCCCTCCCACTAAAACGTACTGATCTCTGCGGTGTGTTAAAAAAATAGACAGGGTGCCGCCACAACACAGCAAATACGGAACCTTAAACACACAGACCCCCACCATATTAAAATGTAAGGGATTATTTTCCACTAAATCCAATGTCCTCTATTCAAACTTCAAAACATGACTACAGAGTTTAATTATGCAAAGGTTCAGGTACATTTCATGTCGCTTTTGAAACAACCTGCGTGTTACAGTATCGTTTATCCATCAAGCGCAGCACCTTTTGGAATAGTGAGATGTGGAGCAGGGTTTTAACTGAGGATTAGAGACACTCTCTATCTAGGCTTTCTCTTTATTGTGTTAGCAGATAGAGAATGGAACCAGGTTTCAGAACATCTCCTGATAAAGATAGAAACCTGTGCATGTGGTTTTAAGGCGATGCTCTCCCTCTCTCAATCCCCCTGTGCTGCTATTCTTCCATGTTTGATCCCCCTCTCCTCTCCTCCCCTTAGTGCCTGCCTGGAAAACTGGGTCTCATTTAGTCTCACTGAGGTCCGGTGATAAGAAACCATTGGCCACTTCAGCAATAGTCGCTCTGCCTTTCTCTTTCACTGTCTCTGTCACTGTATTTTTCTCTCACACAGACACACACTCCAATATGTTATTGACTGCCAGAGCCCATATGACAATGCTCTACGTTTTCACCTGCCTCTATACCGGAAATGTCAATGTTCAGCTACAAGGACGTGTTCTCCATGAGGTAAATTAAAGTATTGTAAATATATAATAGTTGAACATATGAAGTAAGAGAGAGAGAAGGAAGGGAAACATTGTGGTAGGAGGCAGCAGGACAGCCACCATTTTAGTTGCACTTCTTCTCAATGCTCTACACATGTCTGGCCGTCTGTGCGCGCACGTGTGCGTGTGCATGTGTGTCCGTGTGCGCATTTATACGTCCAAGGTCAGGCAATCACAGCTCGGTCCCCATCCTCTCCTCACTCTCTTCCTATCTGATTCCCTCACTCTCCCTCCCCCCATTCTCTCTTTATTCATTTGTCCCTTCCCCCTCTCCCTCTCTTTCTTGCTATGCAATTTTTCACTCCTCTAGCTATCTTGAAATGTGTGTGTGTGTGTGTGTGTGTGTGTGTGTGTTTAAAGGTCCTCCTGTCATTGTGTAGTGGTGTAAGGAGATTAATAGAGATTTGGTAGGGTGGCCATTTTGTGTAGAGTGCTGTGTAGAGCTGGAGTCAATTATTAATGGGGAACCCGGGACCGAAAACATGTTCCCCCAGCTAATGGCTGTATCTGTTTCTCTCTCACATTGTCTCACTTTCTCCTTGTGTCCATCTAAATGTCTCTTTGTCTTTCTGAAAGGCAGTCTGTCTGTCTGTCTCTCTGTCTGTCTGTCTACGAGCCTGAAGGTTGATCGCAGTCTCTTTGCCTTTCATACTTACAGTGAGGGAAAAAAGTATTTGATCCCCTGCTGATTTTGTAAGTTTGCCCACTGACAAAGAAATGATCAGTCTATAATTTTAACGGTAGGTTTATTTGAACAGTGAGAGACAGAATAACAACAAAAAAATCCAGAAAAACGCATGTCAAAAATGTTATAAATTGATTTGCATTTTAATGAGGGAAATAAGTATTGTACCCCCTCTCAATCAGAAAGATTTCTGGCTCCCAGGTGTCTTTTATACAGGTAACGAGCTGAGATTAGGAACACACTCTTAAAGTGAGTGCTCCTAATAATAATAATAATATGCCATTTAGCAGACGCTTTTATCCAAAGCGACTTACAGTCATGCGTGCATAATTTCTTTTTTTTTGTGTGTATGGGTGGTCCCGGGGATCGAACCCACTACCTTGGTGTTACAAGCGCCGTGCTCTACCAGCTGAGCTACAAAGGACCAGTGGCTAATCTCAGCTTGTTACCTGTATAAAAGACACCTGTCCACAGAAGCAATCAATCAATCAGATTCAAAACTCTCCACCATGGCCAAGACCAAAGAGCTCTCCAAGGATGTCATTCGCAAATGGAAGAAACACAAAATATCTGTCAATCTCCCTCGGCCTGGGGCTCCATGCAAGATCTCACCTCGTGGAGTTGCAATGCTCATGAGAACGGTGAGGAATCAGCCAAAAACTACATGGGAGGATCTTGTCAATGATCTCAAGGCAGCTGGGACCATAGTCACCAAGAAAACAATTGGTAACACACTACGCCGTGAAGGACTGAAATCCTGCAGCGCCCGCAAGGTCCCCCTGCTCAAGAAAGCACATATACATGCCCGTCTGAAGTTTGCCAATGAACATCTGAATGATTCAGAGGAGAACTGGGTGAAAGTGTTGTGGTCAGATGAGACCAAAATGGAGCTCTTTGGCATCAACTCAACTCGCCGTGTTTGGAGGAGGAGGAATGCTGCCTATGACCCCAAGAACACCATCCCCACCGTCAAACATGGAGGTAGAAACATTATGCTTTGGGGGTGTTTTTCTGCTAAGGGGACAGGACAACTTCACCGCATCAAAGGAACGATGACCGGGGCTGTACTGTCAAATCTTGGGTGAGAACCTCCTACCCTCAACCAGGGCATTGAAAATGGGTCGTGGATGGGTATTCCAGCATGACAATGACCCAAAACACACAGCCAAGGCAACAAAGGAGTGGCTCAAGAAGAAGCACATTAAGGTCCTGGAGTGGCCTAGCCAGTCTCCAGACCTTAATCCCATAGAAAATCTGTGGAGGGAGCTGAAGGTTCGAGTTGCCAAACGTCAGCCTCAAAACCTTAATGACTTGGAGAAGATCTGCAAAGAGGAGTGGGACAAAATCCCTCCTAAGATGTGTGCAAACCTGTTGGCCAACTACAAGATACGTCTGACCTCTGTGATTGCCAACAAGGGTTTTGCCACCAAGTACTAAGTAATGTTTTGCAGAGGGGTCAAATACTTATTTCCCTCATTAAACTGCAAATCAATTTATAACATTTTTGACATGCGTTTTTCTGGATTTCTTTGTTGTTATTCTGTCTCTCACTGTTCAAATAAACCTACCATTAAAATTATAGACTGATCATTTCTTTGTCAGTGAGCAAACGTACAAAATCAGCAGGGGATCAAATACTTTTTTCCCTCAAATTTTTTTTTTACCCATATAGACACACTAGCCTCTAAATAGCATGGTTCATAATTACAGTGAGATAGATGTAGGGCTGTAAAACTAACTAGGTCAAAATCATTACACAAGTTCATATGGTGTTTGGGGTATACATTCAAATCTCTCAATGTTTCAAGCAAACTGTAATCTCATTAGACTAGAGTATAAATAGATACATCAACAGCTCAGATTGGGGGAGGGAGAGGAAGAGAGGAGGAGGAGGGAAGGAGGGGAGAGAGAGGAGGAGGGAAGGAGGAGGAGAGAGAGGAGGAGGGGAGAGAGAGGAGGAGGGAAGGAGGAGGAGAGAGAGGAGGAGGGAAGGAGGGGAAGAGAGGAGGACGGAGGAGGGGATAGAGAGGAGGGAGGGAGGGAGGGAGGGAGGGAGGGAGGGAGGGAGGGAGGGAGGGAGGGAGGGAGGGAGGGAGGGAGGGAGGGAGGGATGAATGGATAAAGTAGGGCTCCATGCTAAAGTAACGAGAAATTCAATGTATTAGAATGATTTGCTAAAGCACATTAACTCTCATTAAACCCTGCAGTAATTACGAGGGAATCTGTGTACCAGATGTGACACTCGTATTAATCTGACACACAAACACACACACTGATGTACTCGTAGCATGAGACATATACTGTAGACGGAGACATACAACATTAAATGATAACTCATAAAACATAGACAAATAGTGCTGACCCTAGTGCTGACCCTAGTGCTGACCCTAGTGCTGACCCTAGTCAGCACTAGACAGTTCGGTTTCGCTTCGGTTTCGCTTCGGTTTCGCTTCGGTTTGTAAACATTTATTGCGGTTTTCGATTTCGGTTTGGATGACTTATTTTTACATTAAATGCATTATGAAATATGACCTTGAAATTATTTTAGAGCTTATTAATTGAAATTCCAAACCCAAATATTGAGAACGTTCAATTGCCAAAACATTGAAAACATTCCATTGTCTCTAACACAGAATAAAGCAATTAATAAAAGTCCCATGATGGTAGTGACTGCCCATTACTGCTTATCGCTTATTAACCATCATTTATTCACATTACTTTCCTTAAACAAAATATTTCAGTTGTGTATATTATTATTTTATATGACTTTATTATTTCATTTCTTAAAGTCATCATCTCAGCTAAGGCAGTAGCAGCCAGACAACCATCTAACATTATCTCTGTGCTCCCCAACGAGCCAAGCTCCCCTTGGCTAGCGAAAAGGATAGCCCGTGATCATTGGGTTGCCAAACCTGCCCATGCTGCAGAGCTGTCTGACGAAATCACAATTTTAGTAGTTCTTCTAAGTAGATAAGGCATACTTTCAAGACTGCTACAACTATCAACTGGGTAGAGCTACCTCACAAATGGTCTCTATCCCTCTAGTAGTCCCTGTGTTGTGTACATTCCTCTCTCATGCGGTCTGTGTGCAGTGCAGGGAAGAATAGGCGCAAAGGATTCTGGTCATTGTAGTTAATTACCACGTTTTCTGCGCTGAACTAGGTAGAATGTTTGCCTATTGAAAACTCCCTACAGTGTCCCGCAGTTCCTTCTTGATTTGATGTCTCTCTGCTTAATAGGATTTCTCTCTAGAGAAACAGTGCGTTGAGCTCACAAAAAAAAACTAGAACTAAATGGAATTCAAGTAATTGAACCGAAGTCGGTTAGTTAGCTGTTTAATAATCGGGGGGAAAATAAACTTTGGTTAATCGCTCAGCACTAGCTTACCCTGATAAAGCAGCATGTCTCCGACCAGACAGTAGGACAGACAAGACAGACAGACAGACGTTGTTTACAGGGAGCAGTGAAAGCGCCATCAGTTCTGTCATCTCTCATGTCCCTCATCATTTTCACAATGCTGTCCGCCATGGCCGGAGGGACAGACTTTTGTGTGTGTTTGTGAAGGGCGGTGGCAGATGACCTACTTCTGTTTTTTCCCGACAGAGGGACTGGTCCGCCAGTCATCCTCCGTTCATGAGATCGGCACTGCAGACTGTGTGTGTGTGTGTGCTATGAGATGGCCCGGGCGCAGTGCAGTGGGCGATGTGGTTCGCCCGTCTCCTTATGGCTGGCTGTGCTTGTTAACTTGGTCCCTCCCTCTCATTAGCATGCTCCTCGTTTGGGTCAGGCTCAGACCATCCCAGAGCAGCTAGTGGCCCAATGGCTCATGGGTAATGTGATCCCTGCGTTGCATTGTGCATTCCCAATGTCCTGACAGGCCATATTTCCACCTGACTGCCTTTCCCTTTCATCCCCCTCTCCATCCCCTCTTCTGTCTTTCACTGACCCTCTGATCACCCCTCGCTCTCTGTCTGTCTACCACTGTCTAATGGCCAAGCTGATAGAAGACTGTAAAATGGATATATATCTGGTTTAATTGTAATGTATTGGCTGAGAAGGAAATTCTTCTGTAGTTCAATGGGGTTTGGTACCATTTTAAACAAGCAGCATTATGAGTGGTACCTTTGGTGAAGGGGAATGGGTAGAGTAGTTTTGATTTATGAGGGATTACGAGGAATGGAATACTGATGAATTATGAATGATCATTCTTATGGACAGTGTACACTTATTGAGGAATGGTAAACGGTTATATGTGCTTACCTCTGCATCCCAGTCCTAAGTGAGGCAGAGTAACGCCAGTCTGAATTGGGCACCTTGGGCTGCAAGAGAGAGAGTGAGAGAAAGGGATTGAGTCTTAAGTACTGCAAGAGATCACACAGGTAAAACCCAATATCTTCTCATTAATAAGTCATAGCGTGAGCCACAAGTGTGTGCGCGCGCACATCATAGCAGCGACAGCTTGCCTCTGCCTGTGGAGAGAAATGAATTATGAGTTGCGCTGGAGCTCCCTGCTCCCCTCCTCCTCCCTCCTCCTCCCTCCTCCTCCTTTCCTCCCCTCCTCCTCCCTCCCAGTCCTCTGTGAGAGTGATGACTTCAAGAGAAAAGCCTGTTCACAGAGTGCCCACACCAGACTGGTCCAGTGACCCTGCCTCTCTGCCACAGCCCCTCAGGCCACTCCTGCCCTGGGTCAAACATCTCAGCTTCAGGTGGTACGCTCCGTTACCATGGAGACCCAGTGGAATTTTCACATGGGCTGTTTGTGTTGATGGACTCCATCAGGGCTGCAGTGCTCTCTCTCTCTCTCTATTGCTCTTTCACTCTAAATCTCCTTTTTACCAATTTACTAATTTCTTTCCGACTTCTCTTGTACTTGCTTGGTTCAGCTCTCCTCTCTCGTCTCCTTCTCTCTCCTTGTATAAATCTTTTTTTCTTCTCCTTCTCCTTCTCTTTTCATCTTTCACCTTTCTTCCTTCTTTTCTCTATCTTTCTCTTCCTTCATTCCCTTCTCTGGTTCCTTCTCCTCTCCTTTTTCTCCCCTTCTCTCTCCTTCTTTCCTTCTCCTAACTTTCTCCTTCTCTCCCCTTTTCTCCTTCTTTCTTCTATCTCCCTCCTTTCTCTCCTTCTCCCCTTTCCCAATTCTCTTTTCTCTCCTTTTTCCGCTCCTTCTTCTGTTCTCTTCCTTCTTTTCCTTTTTGTTCTCTCTCCTTCTCTCCTTCTCTGTCCTTCTCTCACCTTTTCTGTTTTCTTCTTCTTCCCTTCTTGCCCTTCTCTCACCTTTTGCCCTCCTTCTTTACCGTTTTCTCCTTTTTCTCTCCCTTTTTCCCTTCTTGTTCTCTCTTTCCTTTCTCTCTTTTCCGCCCTTCTCCACCCCTTCTCTTTTCTCTCTTCTCTCCTTCTCTGCTTCTACCTTATGTTCTCTCCTTCTTATCATTTAGTGTTCTCTCTTCTCTCAGCTCCTCTCTTTAGCTTCTCTGTTATATCTCCTTCTCTCATTCTATCTCTCTCACTTCTCTGTAATTCTTCTGTTCTCTTTCTCTATCTATCTCTCTTCTCTCATTCTCTCCTTCTCTTCTCTCTCCTTCTCTCTCCTTCTTCAACCTCTTTGTTCTCTATCCTTCTCTCTCTCCTACCTCCTGTTCTCTCCTTCTCTCACCTTCTTTGTTCTCTCTCCTTCTCTCTCCTTCTTGCACCTTCTCTGTTCTCTCTCCTTCTCGCTCCTTCGCTCTCTCTTTCTTTTCCTTCTCTCCTCTGATCTAAACCTTGAGTGTCACTGTCACAGTATCAGCCTGAGCTGGTCGGACAGACCTCACCATGGTAACCACATGGATACCCCTGCCCCCCCCCCCCCCCCCTTCTACCTCCTTCAAGGTCACAGGTGGAGGAGGAGAGGCGAGGGGGAGGGGAGGGAGAGGCGATATCAGTTTAACCCCCTCAGGCCTGCACCTGGACAGAGAATATATATGACTTCACCATCACAACAGAACCGTGAGAGGGGAACATGAAAGGGCCATAACCTCTGTCTGCAGGCAAATCACATTATAGTGTAGTGACATCATCAGGTGAACTGTGAATACCAGCCAACACCTGGGGAACTAGCCACCACGCCACCATTTTACCCTAAAAGGTAAATGAAAAAATGTATGCGTCATGAAGCAATAATTTGAATGGACACCTTTCCAGAGTTTCCATGTACTAGAAATTCAACAAAATATTTGACTAAAGGATGGAATTGCTCCTCTATCTGGCATGGAGTAAGTCAGAGATCCAGCTAACTAAAATTATGCCATAAACATCAGCTAGTGACTGTATGAGCTTCCCCTATGACCACATACCTAGGATCAGATTACCCATTTCCTATTTCAAACTTTTACCATTACAGAGTCAAAACATCTCTGTTCCAGGACAAATAATAGGAACAACCTCTACCTTCTCCACAGTGTTGACCCCTTTCCTGTGCTGTCCACACGACCGATGTTAACTTCCTGGTGATGGAGAATCGACCGTAGTCTCTCCACACAGCACATTCATCACCGCAAAATCCAATATGTGGGCCTAGAGAAAGGCCTGGTATCCCTCCAGGAGTCATTCAGACAGCCCATCACATTATCCACATCCACAGGGAAACAAACCGCTCAACACTCCACAGCTACACACACAGACAGCTACACACACAGACACACTCATCTACACAGGAACAGGAACACATTTTACCTCAAATATTCAGAGAAACCATATTTGTATTTGTGTTGCATCAAATCCACAAAGAAGTACACGTTATGGAGGAGTGATAAACTCTATACTGGTCTTGCAAATCCAAGGATAAAATAGACTATGTTAGCACAATGAGGATGATAGACTTCACACCTACAATATTCAAAGGCATATTTCAACACTCCAACCGCCTATGACACGTACAGTGAGAGACTGACTTCACAGTCCACACTAACGTTCATAAATAAGAGAGTTAAAGAGAGGGGAGATTGTTAAGAAATAAAAACGCCATCATTAAGCATTTGCCCTGTTGTACAAGAATGGCCGATGGGGGAGTGGTCTGGCCGTCCTTATGGTGTCTGTATATGTAAATGAGAACAGACACACACTAACACTGCAGGTTAGAGAAGAGCATCTGGACCCTAAACACGTCCACAGTCTGATGCACTCCCACAGGAGGACACACACACACGTACACACACACACACACATATGGGCTTGGAGTATATCAGCACTGCCCAGTGAAAGCAAATACTCACAGGTCGTAGGGTGATAATGGAGCTGATATTGTAAATGAAATTTGGTAAGTGAGAGAGAGCAAGATAAATGGAATGAGAGAAGAGAGAGAGAGAAGAGAGAGAGAGAGAGAGAGAGAGAGAGAGAGAGAGAGAGAGAGAGAGATGTACTCCCTCCCTGCCTAGCTGTGTGGACACAAATGAGGGACTTAACAAGACCCTGGGTTTGATTTGGCCTCTATCTCCTCGCCCCTTTCTCTCTCTCCCTTTCTGTCTCTCTCTCCCTCTCTTTCTCGCTCTCCCTCTGTCCCTCTCTCTCTCTCTCTCTCTCTCTCTCTCTCTCTGAGTAGAAGCCCCTTGCATGGATACAGCGCTTGCACCTCCGCCATCGAAAGCATCGTCCAATGACCTCGGTTCCCCCGGCCTCGTCCGAACCAAACCGACCAATCCCGCTGTGGTATCGAGAAACACGTCGCTGCCAGTTAATTACACAGCAAGAACAAACATGAATGGCATTTAATGAGGAAAACGCCAGGGGATAGAGGAGCAATTACCTGAACATTGCTGTATTTCTCCCTTTTCATCTCCCTCCTCTTTTGTTCTTCAATCACTTTTATTTTCTTTGCTCAGACCACCCATACCTATGCAGGGGTTGACAATAATGGTCAGGACACCATCCAACTACTTCTGACTGAAAGACTTTAAAATGTTATCTGAATTTAACATTAGCTGTGTCCCTACTGTCCATTTTTTTTGTAGTCTTCTATGACAACACTGCAGTCAAAAATGTTCCCTAGAAACAGTGAGCCAGTCAAGTCACCAGTTTCCACTTCACACCTGTCAGTAAGAATGAACCACTCCATTAATGACGTAAAGCCACCAGAAACATACTAATGGTTTTGATCTGGTTTTCCCTGCTTCTCACATGATGGCAAACAAATGAGAAAACCCACTGAACTGAAGATGGCTCTTTAATCCAGCTCAGAGTCTGTCTGTTTGCCTCTCATCCCATCTCTAGCCCACCAAACCAAACTCAAGGCAATCGTTTCGTGCCCTGAGCACGACTGACCTGTGGGGGATTTTAATGCAGTAGGACCCATGACTCTTTAAGCTGGACAGAACAACACATAATGCCCAGACTATCTCTCTGTCCAGAGACAACCACACCAGACAAGTCTGTGCCCATTGGACCAGAACTAGTGGACCAATCATATTGACTGGCTGAGGTCATACTAGACCATTCACACTAACCCTTTACACACTAACCCTCAACATTTCAATCAAGAATATAACCAAGATATGTAGGAGTTCTCTGTTGAGCCTGGTTCTAATGGATCCAGCAGTAGAGTTCACAAAGGAGTGGGGGAGGGAGTAGGAAATGGAGAGAGAGAGATGTTTACCCTGAATATCCATGATGAAAAGCATTTTGATGACAGCTCTTTAAACGACTGCAGAGAAGCGAGGCGCATAAACCTCTGATACCCTGACTCAACAGAAACAAACACCAGCTCTCTAAAGAAGCACCACACACACACACACACACACAAACACACACACACACACACACACACACACACACATATAGAGCTGAGAGCCTACCCTCCCACACAAACACACAGCTCCCACAAAGAAGCTCTGAGCATGTGTGCACACTCACACCTCAAATCTAAACACATCCATAAAGTGCTCGCGAAATTAGAGAACGTATTGTACGAAACTGCATGTATGTACAGACTGAGCTCACGATAGAGCATTGCAAATGCAAAACACCTTTGCTACTGCAACACAATGCAGTCTGTGCTGGTAACAGTACCAGACTTCTAACACAAAGAAACAAAGGATGGAAAGAAGACCTAGGAGTGGCACTGCGATTTCCAGGTCTTTAGTTTTCAAGGCCGTTGACAGAAGAGTGATATATATATATATATATATATACATACATACAGAGAGTGTACAAAACATTAGGAACACATTCCTAATATTGAGTTGCACCCCCTTTTGCCCTCAGGACAGCCTCAATTCATTGGTGTCAAAAGGTGTCGAAAGCATTCTACAGGGATTCTGGCCCATGTTGACTCCAATGCCTCCCACAGTTGTGTCAAGTTGGCTGGATGTCCTTTGGGTGGTGGACCATTTTTGATACACATGAGAAATTGTTTTGCGTGAAAAAAACAGCAGTGTTGCAGTTCTTGACACACTCAAACCGGTGCTTCTGGAACCTACTACCATACCTCGTTGAAAGGCACTTAAATATTTTGTCTTGCCCATTCACCCTCTGAATGGCACATATACACAATCCATGTCTCAAGACTTGAAAATCCTTCTTTAACCTGTCTCCTCCCCTTCATCTACACTGATTGAAGTAGATTTAACAGGTGACATCAATAAGGGATCATAGCTTTCATCTGGATTCACCTGGTCAGTCTATGTCATGGGCCCCGTGTAGCTCAGTTGGTTCGATTCCCACGGGGGGCCAGTATGAAAAAAAAAAATGGAGAAAAAAAAGATATGTAAGAGTGTCTGCTAAATGACTTAAATGTAAAACACTCAGTGTAAATGATTTATGCAATGTCCAAATCTGCCAAAAATGATTTTAAAAATCAGATAAAAAAAGAGCGCTGCTTAAAGGTACAATCCACTCAAAAACGTTTGGTATTTTCTTCATTAGTCCACTGATGATACAGTCCAAAAATGTTTTGCATGTCAGCAGTCAAGTTTTTAAGATATTGGGCTTCAAGAAGCAAAGTGTAACTTGCCAAACCATCACGATGATGCAAAATTCTGATGTGGCTGGTGACACTTTGCTTCTTCAATGCCCAATATCTTGAAAACTTGACTGCTAAAATGCAAAACATTTTGTGACTGTATCAACAGTGGACTAATGAAAAAAAAAAATTTTTGAGAGGATTTTCCCTTTAATATTGCATAAACCCAACAAAAAATATGAAAGCCCTCACACACCCCTCACCTTCTTTGAAATTCTAAATTCCAAACACCACTGTTCCACAAAACATTGCCTGTGGGGCAAAACCCAAATACTAAAACCTCCCCAAAAAACAATGCATGAAATAGCTTCTCAGTGTATTGTGGATGGTGTGTGTTGTTGGGATGTGATAACAGGACACACACACAGAGATACACACACACACACCTGTATGGCGGTTGCATCTGGCATGCTGAGCCTGCGTACAAACATCTGGCTCTGTCCACTCTGGCTGGTGACATATCCCCCGGAGCTCCAGGTGCCACTGTGGGGCCGGCCCGTGTTATAGAACATGAAGGTATCGCTCCCCGACGTGGCTGTCATGCATGTCTTATAGCAGTACGTTTTGGTCATGGAGCCGTTCCCCCGCACCTCGATGTAGTGAGGCTCAACTTTCAGGTCTCTCCGCAGAGCAACATTGTTGTTGGGTTGACCCTGACCTCCCCCACCACCACCACCACCTCGACCCAATGACCCTCCACCCCCGCCAGCCGAAGTGCCCCCCTCGGGGACGCTCTTTTGGGACACACAGCAGGGGGAGCAGGAGCCGGGCTGGGTGCAGTAGGCATGGCAGCGGACGATGGCCAGCACCACAATGGTGACCAGGAACACAAAGGTGGTGGCGCTCAGGGCCACGATCAGGTAGAGTGTCACGTTGGAGAACAGCAGTGGGCTGTGAGGCCTGATGATGCGCTTGGGGTCGGGGGTCAACTTGGGTGGCAGCTCCATGACGTGCACGTTGATGGTGGCGGTGGAGGAGAGAGGCGGGAGGCCATGGTCGCGGACCAGCACGGTCAGTAGGAAAGAGGTGGAGTTGTCCTCGTTGACACGCCGCGTGGTGCGGATCTCCCCCGTGTGCTCGTGGACTTTAAACAGGTCCAGCTCGGAGGTGGTCTGCTCCAGGGCATACACCAGCCAGGCGTTCTGACCTGCGTCCCCGTCCCACGCCACCACCTTGGTCACCAGAGCCCCCGCCTCTGCGTTCTTCATCAGCGTCTCGGTGGTCCGCGTCCCATTGGCTGGAGGATGGACTATCCTAGGGGAGTGGTCGTTCTGGTCCATGATGTAAACGTAGACTGTTGCCACGCGGCTGAGGGGCGGCACGCCACCATCCTGGGCTTTCACCTGGAAGTGGAACTCTCTGAGCTTCTCGAAGTCGAAGGCTCGCAGGGCATAGGCCTCACCCGTGTCGGGTTTGATGCTGACGTAGCTCGCCACAGGGATGCCGTGGTTGTTGTCATTGAGGACAGTGTAGGTGATGCGAGCGTTCTCCCCAGTGTCTGCATCCAGAGCCTTTACAACGCACATTGAGGCGCCGGGCGCATTGTTCTCCGTCATGTACACTGTGTAGGACGTCTGTTCGAAGCGGGGAGGGTTGTCATTGACATCGGCCACATCAACTTTAATGGTCATGTGTGAGGACAGGGCCGGGGTTCCCCCATCGATGGCGGTTACTGTGACGTTGTAGGTGGAGATGGTCTCACGGTCCAGGAAGGCAGCGGTGACCAAGGTGTAGTGGTTCCGGAAGGACTTGATCTTAAAGGGGACGCCAGGTTGGATCTCCAGGGTCACCTGTTTGTTCTGGGCGGAGTCCCGGTCATTAACACTGATCAGAGCCACCACGGTGTCAGCCCGTGCATCCTCACGGACCGGGCTGGAAAGAGACGACAGCACGATTTCAGGAATGTTGTCGTTCACATCCAAAACCTCCACCACCACTTTACAGTGGACGACCACTGCAGAAGGACCCCTGTCCATAGCTTGTATGTACATCTCATAGGAGTTAGTCTCCTCATAGTCTAAGTTGTTCTTCACTCTGATCTCTCCTGTATCTGTATCCATGGTGAACATTTGTCTCACCCTCTCTGGGGTGTAGCTGCTAAAAGAGTAAAACACCTCCCCGTTTGTGCCTTCATCCCGGTCAGTGGCGTTTAACTTTATCACCAGAGCGCCCTTGGGCGAGTTCTCCGACAGTTTCACTTTGTACACGGAGTTGTCGAACGCGGGCACGTTGTCGTTGGAATCCAGGACACGCACGTTGATTTTGGCTGTGCCTGTGCGCGCAGGGGTGCCTCCGTCGACAGCTGTCAGTATCAACTGATGAGACGGTTTATGCTCACGGTCAAATGGCTTTTTGAGCACGAGCTGGATGTTCTTGCTGTTTGCGGCGGGCTTGTTGGAGTCCAGCGCAAGATGCTCGTTGTTGCTGAGCCGGTAGAGACGAACCGAGTTGGAGCCGTCGTCTGCATCCTGCGCGCCCTCGATGGGGAACCGGGACCCAGTTATGGCGGACTCTGAGATCTCCAGCTGGTACTCGTCCCGGGGGAACTGTGGCGAGTTGTCATTAGCATCCAGAATCTCCACCTCCACATTATGCACCTCAAGCGGGTTCTCAACCACCACTTCTAGGTTGAGGAAACAGGTGCCGCTGAATTCACACAGCGTCTCCCGGTCGATACGGTCACTCATCGACAGCTTGCCATTTTTATGATTTATGTTGAAATATCTCCGTGCGCTGTCAGAGGTGATTCTGATGCGTCGGGAGGAGAGCTTTTGCAGGTCCAGACCCAAATCACGAACAATGTCGCCGACCACTGCCCCATTCTCTAGCTCCTCCGGAATGGTGTATCGTATTTGTGCATTTGTAAGGCCACTGAGTACAAAAATTACCAAATAAAAAGTAAAAGGCACATTCTGAGTTATGCTGCAACAGCATCGCACCGCCACAGCCATTGCAAGCAGGCAGGATCCGCAGACGGATTAGAGAAAGCTTTCCGCCTTTTTAGCTTGCCATGCGTCCCCACCCGCAACATTAAAAACGGGAGGAAGAGTCCTTGAGCTACCCCCTACTATGTGCAGGACCACCAAAGCATCCTCTCCGGTACATGTGCTTGTTTTAAAGGACGTTTTTCCGTTACATCCATGTTTTCCTTTGTCCGTTTGGCTACTGCTATTTTCTCTTCTCTCTCCGGCTGAATCTTGTTTCTCTCTCTCTGGTGCTGACTATCGCTCTCCCTTTCTCATCTCCTCTCTCTCTCCTTCCCCCTCCCTCTCACCCTGTCTGTGCAATGGTGTCTGTGGGCAGCGGGGGAGGGTGAGCCGCGCTCTCAAACGGTACTGGCTGCATTTCAGCACCTCCGATTGAAAACAACGTCAAATAGAAAGAAAAACACATTCACACCTTGAGAATGGCAATAATAATTGTATCTCAATTCATCATCATTTTTAACCGTCTGTCGTTTTTGATATTTTTAAGAGAGCGCATTCGAGCAGGCTCTGGGTTTTTTTTTTTATCAGAGAGGGAGAGAGAGTGAGCGAGTGCCACCGCCCTTTTCATTGTGTGCTGCAGATACATTGCCGATCGGATTTATCGGTACACCCAGGAGATTACTTCTCTCTTTTCATTGCTACAAACCTGCCATTACGCCAAAGCTCTGGACCAAAACGAATAAATATAAATAAAACGAATAACGGATATTTAATCGTCTATGGAAATAGATCAACAAATTAAATGTATTTTTGCAGCAATTATCTTCATTAGTATTTTAATTTTAAGTATAATCACGGCAGTGTATGGAAATATTTGCATTATTGTAGAGAAGAGAGGATCTGTCCTCAATGGAATCAACAGGGCAATGCAAATCAAGTTAGGCTGTGCATTAAATGATGGAGTTAACCAACAGAGACAATAGAACGAGAAAAACAACACAAAACGAAAAAAAAATTAAGCTGTATGTTTGCTGACTACGAAGGCGTTATAGGTTATTCAATGCCTTTTCCACTCTCCTCTATTTAGGTTCAGCAGCTCTCAAAACAAAGCGAACTGTGTCCAGCGCTCTATCGCTGTCCCACGAGCCCTAGTACTGAAATATTGCTGCTCGCGCCCTCCTCTCACTTATTGCCCTGAGAGTGACAGCTGGGTTGATCGTATATTAAGACTACAGGGGTACTTGACTGCCGCATCAGTTTCACATCATATTACTCGCAGTACACAGGATCACCCCCTTTAGGCCTATATGTTATCATATGAAACATGTTAACTCGGGGTGAGCAAGCGAAACGAACCAGGTCACCAACAAGATGCTCGAGACTTGCCCCCTCGCCACATCTGTCAAAACAAACTAGCGTGCCCTCTCCTGTCAGACCCAAATTGCTGGAATAATACAAAGCTCGTGCACGCTGAAGAAGCGGAAAGCACGAAGAATTTAGACTCATGTAGTTTTCCATTTCCTTTCGAAAGTCTCACTTTTGTCACGATCGTCTAATGAGGGAGACCAAGGCGCAGCGTTGCGGGTGAACATATTATATTTATTCAACTGATCACACGATCAAAACAAAGAACGAAACGTGAAGTCCGTCGATACACAACCAAAAGGAACAAGAAACCACAAAACACAAAGTGCAAGACAAACAGTTAAATATGGTTCCCAATCAGAGACACCCAGCTGACACTCGTTGCCTCTGATTGGGAGTCACTCAGCCCAACATAGAAAATTAAACATAGACTTACACACCCTGGCTCAACATAACATAGTCCCCAGAGCCAGGGCGTGACAACTTTCAGCAAACATCTAAGCTATAGCTCAATACAATTAAGCAAATTAAATATTCCACCTGGTGTAAAAGACCAACATAATTTTCTAAAAACAATTAGGGCTAACTGTTTATCTTGCACTCATGAATCCATGAGTGCTGGGAAGGCTTTTACACACACGTAACTCCTGACAGTTTCAGAGATTGCTTTGGGGGCAGTTCACACCAAGCAATGGTAATGTAATAGTCTGGCAGACATTAATAGACACACACTGCCCTGGCTCCTGGCACCTTGATATACTTTCATTGATCCATTAAAAAGTGGACCTCAGCTTTATAGACGATCGTGACGTGTATTCATTTCTTGAAAATCCTGCGCCACCAACCAGGGGCGGCCTGTTCAATAGGGCGATATGGGCGACGCACTGCCAAACGGGAAAAGGAAGGGATTTTTTTTCTAATCAATTATATCACGGCAACAGTAGTTATCAGTGTTGTAATCTATACGTCTGATCTGCCACAGTGCCACACTGCCACTAAATGTCGAATCAGGCTAAAGTCGTGCTTCAAATGGCTCCCCCCCCTTTTGGGGCGATTTCAGTCAGGTTGAAAATCGCCCAGAAGTCTGTCATAGACTCCCATGTAAAATCTATTTTTTTCAAATTTCAGAGCCTTCAATACAATCTCAATGGGTGTCTGTGGGCTTGCACTTACGCGCTTTCGTCATACGTTACGTAACCATGAACGTAACTGAGAAAAGAGTGGATTGTTTGAAAGAAGTTCCTTTTTGTCGGCGAACAAATGAAGATAAATTGGCAACGAAACAATTAGGACCTCCCAGACCAAATTTAATAATTCAACAGGTTTCTACTAAAGGCGGAAAGTCCTACACCCGAGGATTTTCCAAAAATTGGTACGAACGAAAAAAGACATTGCCACTCACTCAACTGGATGACGAGGGATACAGGCTAGCTGTCCGCCGCCACAACGATGAGGTTAGTGTTGATAATCACAAGTTTACTGGAGAACCAACTGAGACCAAGTAGAGACTTTGGACAGGGTGGATATGGTGTAATAAAGGCAGTTTATTCAGAGGTAAATATATCTGGAATCGCGTTCACGGACCCGTTCGTCAAACTCTTAGGGAGCTATAAATTAAGCCCCATTACTTACCATATCAGATAAGAGAAATTGCTGCAGCTACATATATTTTACATCCTGGCCCTACATAGTTCACTATTTGCATCACTTACCAAAATATTACATGTGGTCATATATGCTTGGAAAGTGGAGATGCCATAGAACGTCAAAAAAGTAAACACTGCTGGAGACACATTGCCGTTTTGGAGAAGACATCGCGTTTGCTAGCGAAGAGATTTGTTGTGGCAAATGAACTTGGGCTGGGAATTGCCAGGAACCTCACGATAAGATATATGCATCAGCATTGCGAGTCTCATGATTCTATACGTATTGCGATTCGATACTGTGATTTTATTGCGCACCATATGTCTGTTGCAGAGGGATCAGAAAGCCATGAGAACGAGTTTTGATCAGTCATGGAAATAAAAGTGCTGAAAACAAATTGGCTCCCAATGTGAAAAGATTGAGAACAAGCTATGAAGGAACAATAATGGTGTTTTGGTGCAGGTACAGCCAACTAGCGCTAAAATATTGCGATATTGTCAATACAGTATATCGTAAAGTATCACTATGTAACTCGATTTCTTTCACCCCAATCCCTCAAATTAACGGTAAATAACTGAATTGTTTGCCCCACATTTAGCTAAGATGATTAGCTAGCCAGCTAAAATGTTTTATTTAGTTAGCAGTCGCATCTACAATAGTTTACTGTCAATAACATGTCTCCAAAAATGACGTGGTGTCTCCAATTGTGTTGACATTTTACAATTGCAATGCGCATCCATGAGTATCCACTTTCTGTAGCTCAGCTGGTAGAGCATGGTGCTTGTAACGCCAAGGTAGTGGGTTCGATCCCCGGGACCACCCATACACAAAAATGTATGCACGCATGACTGTAAGTCGCTTTGGATAAAAGCGTCTGCTAAATGGCATATTATTATTATTATTATTATTATTATTATTATCTGAAGAGAGCCCCGAAACATTGTGTGCAGACATTTTATGCAATAAATGAAGTAGGTTCAATCTAGTAGTTCTGATCTTCTGATTGGTCCTGATGAGTTGGGCGAGGTCCCCTCCAGGCTACAGAGCATTGGCTCTGAGTCGGGTTCTCTGTCTTCAAATGTTCAGCCTAAGAGAGGGGATTTTGTGTGTGTGTGTGTGTGTGTGTTTAACAGTGATGATGTGTGTGTGTGTGTGTGTTTAACAGTGATGATGTGTGTGTGTGTGTGTTTGTGTGTGTGTGTGTCCTCAGAGCAAGAACTCGTGAGTTGGAAGAACTGAGAGGCCTATGGCGTGGGTGTTGTCCTTGGCCACCTGCTGACAAGGCTGACAAGATAGGACCCTTTTGTCCATTGTTATTGGATAGGAACAGAACTTATAACCAGCTCCTGACCTAAATAGATCTTAGCACAACATTTTACTCAACATATCATATTCCATATTCACTATAACAAATATATTTACTACGACATTAGCAAGAACCGCCACATCCTCAGCCGGCTAATCCAGTGTGTGAAGTTTTGCGGAGTGTTTGAGTTAGCTTTGCGAGGCAAAGATGAAACTGAGGGCTCCACCAACCCTGGTAAGCCAACACTTTTGAGATCAGTCAATAAATGCTTCTGGTATTGACTTATATGCTGCCCCTGTCTTCATGTTGTTGCTGGACATATCTTTTTTTAAATGTGTGTAGGTCACCTAAATCATCAGAAAAATTGCCCCTCCTGAGAATTTTTTCAGGAGCCGCCACTGCCACCAACCCTTCTGATTTGGCTCTCACACTGGACACAGACTGTCTGGCTATATTAAATACATTTCAAAAGTACCATTTAATTGCACAACCAACGTATGTTCATCAAATGTTGTAGTGGGGTTAAGCTGGTTTCTCATTTAAATTCGACTCAATATCTCAAACATCTGCCCATGGGGTCGAGATGGCTCACTGCGCATGTCTGGTCGCATTTGGTCGGATAGTGGCGTTAAATGCCCAAATCATCCTGCTCAGACTTTCCTCCTAATTAGTACAATCTGAACCCATGTACCCCTATTAGAATCCAATTTAAATCGGATTCAATTCAATTAAGAGGGGCCTCTAGTCCTATCGCGATCAGTACGACAAAGTGAGGGGGAGGATCTTTCGACACGAATTTCATTTCTACACCAGTGGCAACGGTTCATACTGAATTGAATCGTGGCTCTCGTCTCATCTCCGAGTCCTTTAGCTCTGGAAAAGCTCAATAGTTGGATAACACTCAGACAGCCAGTTTGCTAGACAATCGGCTTTCACGCCATTCAAATTGATTGAGTCATACAGTGAGCGCAGTGCCATTCAAAGGAACACTAGGAAGGACATTGTGACCTAAAAGGTGATGTCATTGAATGCTGGTCTCATCATAAGGATTTGTTCAATGACAAAGGAGCCTGTCTGGGGAACTATTAGCATAACCTGGAGCC